TCGGCCTGCTGGAGAAGCCACTCGATGGTTTCTCCGTCAGACTTGTGGCCGAGCTCGCGGGTGAGCTGGAAGACTCTTGCAGCGCAGAGGGCCGGCATTCGAATGCGACGGCCGCGTCCGTCGACTTTCGTGTGGCGGTCCTTGGTGGAGGTCCGCTTGGGAGGAGGCTTTTTGGAGGGCTCGGCGGAAGCTTGGAGAGTGGAGGTTGTTGTGGTGGTGGTGGTGATGGCGGTCGCAGGGTCCACAGTGGTGATGGCTAGAGAAGGGTAGGGGGAGGTCGAGTTAGAGCAGGAGGCGGCTTCTTGATCTAACTCCTTCTTTTCGAGCAGCTGGAAGGGGAAGTTTGGACGGTGGTGATGTTGCTGTTGTTGGTAGTGATGGTGGTGGTGGTGGTGGAGTTGATGATCTTGATCACCTCCTTCCATGATCGCATGGGAAAGAGAATTATGATCAGCTTGTGTGAAGGGTTTTATTATGAGAGGAGGAGAGAGAGAGAGAGAGAGAGAGAGAGAGGGGTCTTAATTTAGTAGTATAATTGGTTTTGGTGGGGCTCTCAGCTCAGCTCAGCTCAGCTCTCATCAGTCACTCACAGTGGTACTATATTTACAGGACTAGTCTGTATGTATATTTTTTTTGGAAGTCTCTCTTTGTTGTTGTTGTTGGGCTGGAAATTTGTATATGAGAAAATGGAGAAATTTGATTTTGATGATGTGTAGAGAGAGAGAGAGAGAGAGCTATGGACTAGTATGGAGAGAGAGGGAGAGAGGGAGAGAGAGAGAGAGAGAGAGAAGATAAGGGAGGGAGGAGGAGCTTTAAGCAACAAAGATAATGAGTGGGAATTATATGGGTGAGCTTTAAAAAGCAATTTTTTTTAGGAAAAGAAATTGCTTTGTTGTTGTGCTGAGCTTTTTCTCGCTTTCTTTTTATTTTATTTAATTTTATATAATTATATGTTCTGTCATTCTTTAGGAGGGAAAAATATCAGAATATCAATTATCAAATACACCCAAAGCCAAATAAAAAAACAATATGTGAATTTTAATTTTCAGGAGAAGGAGAGATGAGGAGGGAGAGGGAGGGAAGGGGTTCCCCTTTTTATTGTGGTTGGACAGCCCCTTTGGTTCAGACTCCACGTGAGGTGCTCTTTTTATCATTCAATCCATAAAGACAATGGTGGCCGAGGTGGGACCCAATCCCAAGTCAAAAAAAATTTAGAGACTTGGAAAAAAGGAAAGATTATAAAGTGGGTCCCTTCTCATTCAAGTAATCATTTCATTTTGCCTTTGGACCCCTTTGCCTTTCGCTCTGCACCTTTGCTATTTGTTGCTTGCCCTTACTGGCATGGGAGCAATGAAGGAACTTTGAGATCCCCTTCATCAACTCAACTAGTAAGTGAAAAACTACTACTCCCCTCCTCTTCCCTATTGGGCCTTCAATATTCATTGCCTCTCTGGCTTCTGGGTTTCCGGCCATCTACCATTACATTCTCCTGTTTTGGTTTGTTTTATAGCTCAAGTGGTTAAAAGAGCGTTTATTTTATAGCTCAAGTGGTTAAAAGAGCGTTCCCCCACGACAAGAGTTTTAGTCTCGCAATCGTATATATATATTTTGGTGAATTATTAGGGGAGATGATGGTGTTAAAAAGTTTTGGGTTATGGTGTTCCTTAATAGATGCTAATCAATGTGGGTGTTACCCTTTAGGACCCCCTTGGTAGCCGATGGCCCTGGATTCAGTACACGCCTTCCAAATTTAAAATGTACAAAATGTTGAATGTGCAATCATGATCATACAGGGCTACTGGTTTATGTGCAGGCTGCAGGCCCATCTAAAATCATTTTGGTTTCTCTAAGGAATCTGTTAAGGTTTGTTTACATCTTTGCTGGTCCATACATCCCACTCATTTGAGCAATCTACTTAATTAATTAGTTTAACAAACAACCCTATTGGTTTTCTTTTGTTCATTTACATCATTAATTACACTTAAAACACTTGAAGAAAGAATATCCTGTGCTTCACTGAGCTCTTGGCTGGACTTGCCTAGTATCTGAAATTGAAGTGCCAACTTGAAATTGATTGGATGCTTTGTTGAGTACCACAGCTAATGTGGTCTGCTCCACATCCAACATTGCTCATGTGGCACTGATGTGATATACTTACTTTGGCTGGTTGATGGTATTTTTGTCTTTTGCAATCTTAAACTGAACATGTGGCAGAACCTGATTTGATGGTTTGAGCAAAGAAAACTAGATCAAGGGAGGGAGATGTTGATGAGCCATATTGCCATAAAAGAAGATCAAAGAAGCAAGTCCTAATAATCTTTATATAGCTGGTCAGAATTAGTCATGATCTTTTGTCCAGTAGCAATTTAGAACAGAGATAAGGACTAGCATTTAGACAATTGCTTTGCTTGACCTGATTGTCACAACCACTGTTGATTTTCTATGCCTTTTTCTTCTTCTTTTTCTTTCAGATGAATGATTTGTGATGCCTCAGTAATAATAATCTTTATCAACTGTGTAGGGCCAGTTCGTTGTAGGTTTTTTTTAATATTAAGTGATATTAAGGGAGATGAAATTCAAATACAGAACTTCAAATACATGAACAAAATATTCTTAACCATTCAAGTTACAAGCCCCTTGCCGATCAGTTTGATATTCGCATAACCTATCACCATATGTATATATACATACCAATCTAGCTCTTTGTTTATATAATTATATGTTTAAATCGTACAGAATGTCTTAACCATATTAGCACCTGGCTAGCTTAGCTATTTCAATCCCACTAGTACAATAACTTATTTTAATGACTTGAACCAAATCTAATGGGGGCTCCAGTTGAACAAGTCCATTGAAGCGTGTGGCATCATCTCATTGGGGGTGGCAGGGCTCTTCTGTACATGACGGAATTGTGGGGTTACTGTCGAGAAATGTGAACCAGGAATTAGCAAGTGCTGCCTTTTTTTGAGACCACATGTCTTGCCACTTATGTAATGCATTGAAGGAGACAGCTTACCATCTATCTATTCATCTCTGCTCTTGTTAATATCTTTTCCAGCTACAATTTTTTATAGGCAATTTCTGGGTGTTAAAGTTTTGATACCCTTCCTCACGTTCAAAACCAAATGGAAAATTCCACTCACTATATTTATCTATACAGCTAACCCTAATACATTATTAAGGTTATAATTGGGTGTGTTTAGCAGAGTCATTATGTTCTAAATTTCTAATACTGGTTTAGCTGTTGTGTGATTAGCACATAATCATGTGCATAGCAGCAGCTTTGCAAACAATACTAGGCCTCTACTAAAACTGAACCCACTAAGCCATTTTCCCAAAAAACCTGTTACAAAAGTTGGTTTTGTTTGGGCTTCTGTTGGGTTTTCATGTTCTTTTTCAGGTTCAATCAATGTCGAGGGCTTACATTTGGTAGGATCCATACGATTATCATTATTTGAGTTCATTGCTGCTGATAATGCTCTTGATCAATCAAATGGTTGGTTCATTGGGAACCAGCTTAGCCAAAACTTGTTCTGCTAAACCAAAACATTAACCTAAGATTCTACGACTTGTTTGGTGGGCAAAGAAAAAGAAAACCTAAAACTTCTCAATTTGGAACCACGAAAAATATAAAAGTTGGGTTTGGTTTGGTTTAGAGGAATAGACAGTTGGAATCTTTGCCTTCATGTAGGGCTGGAAGTTGCATTGGAATATTTTGAAAACAGAGGGAGTTGAGTCACATCACTTTCTCAACTTTTTGTCTGCCTCTATTCTGGGCTCAGTGACTTCAGCCTCTCTCCATAAAAGAAAGAAAAGAAAAAAAGCCCTTTGGGATCCCTTCTGTGATCCACACCTTCCCTTTTCTTCATCTACACTGCAAATTGCAATGCATGCATTTCCCACTAGCCTGCCTTGTTTTTTATGTTGCTTAGCTATAGATTGCTCATCATCACTATTCACTTTCCTTTGAGAAATGTGAAGAATCATGAGCATATCCTTTATGCCCATGTTTAAAATCTGCTTTTTATTACAAGATCTTTGTGTTCAATTCACAACACAATTTGTTACATATTTATATATGTTTCTGTAATTTGTAATTATGATTTTGCAGATTCTAATTCATTAATGGAGAGAGTGAAAAATGAAATATTCTCAAGCTCTCAGCAATGCAAACCTGGTGTTTATTCCTATATTAGCATAGATAAGACTTGAGAAGAAGATTAATGAGTTATAAGGGTTCATCTACAGTACGAATCCCCATTGAATGCAAGCGCGATTTAGTGACTTGATATTAATCTATTTCTTAGTAGTCAAAGATGAACTATCAATTTAACGACTACAACTGCGTGTACATGCAAATTCACGGATGAGGAAAAATTCCTTATTTAGTGATATACTATATAATATAAAAAACATGATTTAAAAGAGTACTACTCCGCTAAAAGATGTATCACTTTCTAAACTTGAAAAACTTTAGTTAAGCCACTCATTATAAGAAGCAAGTAAGGATACGATTGCACCTAATTAATTCAAGAACTCTATGTTCAAATGTGAAGATAACTAGGTATATATTCTCCCACACAATAGTGCTTGCCTCAACAAGAAAATATGATCGAACAAAAATGAGAAGTACACCATACTGGGATTTTGAGATGGATGTTACTTTTGCTGGACCAATGAAAAAAGTCAGTTTAGACGACTTTTGCTGTCGTGCAAGTTGATAAAATCCACGAGGACACTGAAAATCTTATCCCCAAAAACTTAGAGAAGTCCAATCAGAACACAGCAGCTAAGCATGAAAAGACAATGAACCAATGACACTAAATAAATGTATCTGCATTGGACAATGGACATGTGAGAGAGGCTCAGCTCAACACATGCTGTAATTCTGGCTTTCAATAAATCAAATTCCTTTGTTTTTCTTTGTGGTTTTTTTTTTGCCACCAAGTCTCTGAATTAAAGAAAATTCCAAATTTAGCTAACTACCATCACAAGGATCACTGTAGACAGTGACTGAGCATCGATATGCTTTCCCAAATTTACATTTGTTCGCAGGTTGTAATTAATTAAGTTGGAATAATAACCTACGGATCATTGGAGTATGAGGTCCACACATGCATGCACTGGCTTAGATAAGCTTAAGAAGCTTCCATTTGTCCCTTTTTTATATAAAAAAAAGTATAATTAATTTCACGTTTTTCTACAACTCTTCTCTTATGTAAATTGCAATTGGTCTTTTTCTTTTTATACGAACGATATTGAGGATGAGGTGTTTTAACAGATACTGTCAAAGTGTTATAAAGGGTTCGAACTTGAGACTACTAGTATGCAAATTAATCTTATTTTTCATTGAGTTAGACCGCTTATCTAATCTAATTTGTCTTAAGTTATACATTAAGTGTGTGAGTAAAACAAGATTAAAATAGAAAAAGTATTGCCTTAAAGAATAACAAAATCTCTTATCCTAATTTGCACGTACTTTTATAGTGCTCGACCTAAGATTTGATTTGAAAACAATCTTACTTTTACACCTCATATCTTTGTTCTTTTCAGTAAAAATAAAAAATAAAAAAAAGATCCATTGAACCTTTTTCACCCCTTTATTCCAAGCCCCTTTTTCTAGATGAAGACTACAAGAATCATATAGACCTAGCTTCCAGGAAATTATATATCCA